CTCATTGCCGCCTGCGTCCGCCGTCCCGCACGTGCCGTGCAGTCGACCACCACACCCTCCCTGGCACCCATGACAGGTCAAGGATTCTGGCGTAGACTCTGGCAACTTGCAATCGTTTCCCGCAGCGCAAGGAATGGCGTGCCCCTACCGGTGACGCAGTAGGGGTATGGCTGGTAGAGGTACTCGGCCTCCTTGTCTGCGTCGTGTGTGTGGGATGTGGTTGACTCTCTGTGCAGAATGTTTCTGAAAAAAACCGGCACTATTGACGGAGCCGGAGACCCCCAAACCGGCACTATATAGGGACTGCCCTCTATAGTTCCGGTTCGGAACTTAAAGCGGGTTTGTTCCGGGGCGGCCGATTTCACCGGAAATATAGCGGGACCCCGGAACTATTCAACCCGAACTATAGCGGGACCACTACTGTAACACAGCATTGGCCACATTGTTGGGCGACCACTCAAAGGACGATGAATCCTACCTTTTCGGAGAAATCGGCGTAGTCGTTGGCCTTGCCGGACACGCTGCTGAAGTAGAGGCCTTCCCCGTAGCGTAGGCCAAAGTTCGTCCTCCTGGCCGTCCCGCCGACGTTTCCCTGTAGCGTGAACCCATGGGTGCAAATGCTGCACACTTTGCAGCCCTTGTCGCTGCATGGGTTGCCCTGTCATAGCACAACAACCGAGAGACGACCGTCCGGGCAAAATTGGCACAAGCAATCGGCAGATCAAAGCGTAAGCGACATTCTTCAGTGGGAGAGGCTGGAGGAAACAGGCTAGAGGTTTGCACTCCAGCGTTCGACACTGAACATATCTGCGCACCTATACGTAGATCGATTTCGAGGTTAGCCATGAAATGGGCGGCACGCAGCGCAAACTTGTGTAAACTCATACCCAAAGAGTGATGACCGCCATCATCTAGTCAACATCTGTGGAACCATTTACAGCAGTACAAAGTACAAGGGATTGAATAGGCTGTGTAGTTTCACTGGGTCGGAGTCCAAGGGGTATCCCAAGGCGGCCAGTGCGATTGGGGGAGTGTTTCCGATGATTGCCGAGCAATTGACCTTCACATGGGTTTTCCAGTCCTTTTTTGAACAACCTTGTCGCAAGGGTTACCCATACTCTTAGTGATATATACTTACCGATCTTTGTACCGTTCTTTGAATTTCTAATTTCACAGGCGCGGGGTTCAAGTTGTGTATCGTAATTCACTGTAGGTTTCACTCGCTTGATGTTCTTAGGTATGGTATATTTTATATTTCTACATATTTGTTGCGCGTTCTGAAGCCTGACCTCATTCATTTGAGCTGCAGGCGGTGCCGGCCTACGGATCGGTGCTACACACCGGACGCTCTCTGGCTGTTCGGACAACGAGCGTAGCCTTCGAAATTCTACAACTCTTTCCCCGGCGTTTTGATAGCGAATGGTTTCACTCTGTCGTCTGGTGGCGCTCTGTTTTCTCTTCCGAAACACCTACAGTAGCGCCAACGCAAGGCTGACTGGCACTAATCCCATGAAAGCTTGTCGTGCACGAACATGTATTTACTCGGACCGGTGATATTGTGTTCGGTGTGGTCTGCGAATGTCACCAGGGCGATTGTCCCTGTGAGTTGTCTGTGATTTCACTCTTGCCTTGGTCTGTTTTCTCTAGCGCGTACTAGCCAACTCGCACAGTGCCTCTTCCTGGGAAAGATTGATGAACCCTTGTTGTTTTGCTCCACCTGATGGACTCTGTCAGGGTACACAGCTTCATAATTTGTTGACAGATCGCACTCCGTGGCCTTTGGCGTCCAGTCTTATGTTCTACGCAAGCATCTTCGCATACCCGAAATCGATTTCAGGTCCACTTTTTTCAGGCCAAGGTTGTACATAATTCTGTGCCGGTCGATGCTGAAGCGACTGACTTCAAGGTGGCAGTTCACTCGTTGTTGCATCAGAAACGCAGGGTGATCTCTTCACACTCACCCTTAGATCCACGAAGAAGTTACACTTTGTCGAGCACGAGGTGCCATGAAAGCGACGCCGGACGTTGCCTACGGTCTTCTCGTAGGTTTTGGTCTTGCGACGGACGTCCGCCGGTACCTACACGCGCGATGTTTGACGTCGTCATCAATTACTTCATTCTAGTCAGTGTTGGAGACAAAGCGACGACGGAGCGGAAGGGGGATGGTCGAATGATGTCCAAGTTCCAGAAATGACAACATATCAACACCAGATCAACTTTCCCCGAGTTGGATATTTAGGACTTTCTCACGGCCGTGTTCTGAGTTTGTGCCATTATTGAAATGCCATTTCTGAAATGAACAGATGCGAAGGTATTCGGGCGAAGACAATGAAAACCGCTAAAGCAACGCGTGGATTCCTAAATCACTGCGTATCAGTCGCGAACTTCGAAACGTAGAGCACAGAGAGGACAATGTACAGACAAGGCCTTGGGTGTAAACATGTGACACCGATCTATTCTGGCACACAGTGAATATCACCTCCTTCACTGTGTAGCTCACCTCCACCGTGAGTATCTTCTCAACCGAGATGCCACCAACTGGCTCAGGCTTGACCCACTTGTTGACGAACTGATCGATGAGTGAAGGGTAATGAGGATGAGCCTTGGAGAGGACGCACAGTTTGAAGTCCGTGGTGCCGGTGGTTCCACGGTGAAAGATGCGTTCCACGTAGGTATCACCGTTCGTCCCCTGTGAACGCAATCCAACCCCGGGATGAAAAAACCACGGGTAGCGTCATCAGTCCCAGTCATGGTTTCCTCCGTACGACCTATTGGGATAATTTCTCATTTGATTGACCACTGTACTACCAAACACAAACCAGCTTTCACCACTCGGCGGTATTGCACTCTGAACCTTTCCTAAAACTGTGTGTGGGAGTTAGCCAGCAGCCCACCAGTGTCTGCTGCTCGTTACGGACACGGTGGTCTTCGCCGCAGTAGTCGAGAGCGTTTCCGGTCTGGTGATGGTACAAGGCCACCTCGGAGCACCCGGCCAGCTTGCAGGACCTTGAACTCCCTGCTTTTTGTCCACCATCGTCAATGGCACAGCGGCTACTGCAGTACTGGGGACCTTCGATGTTCGCCAGCCAAGCAGTGCTAAAACGTGCAGATGGTGACGCCACATCGGAAGCGGCCAACGAGAATATTTCGAGGGTGAGGCGTCGGTCGAAACTATACAGTAAATAAAGAAGAGATCGTGTTGAGTTATGGGTACGTGGTAACATTACCACCATACGCTCATTGCCAGTCCACAGGCAAGACAAAGCTAACCTATGCATACGGTCGTCCCTTCACCTGGTACATCCCTTTCGAAGGCACTCGCGCGTGTTGGCCTGCGCGCGGTGAGACTTGCTGCAGTAGTCGGACTCCTGTAAGTGCAGATATTCGAAGCAGCAAGAAGCCGAGATGGTCAACGAGGTTCACATAACGCTGAACCCAGAAGAGATACCAGCCTCTGTGTAAAGAGTGTGTAGCAGGCCTCGAGGACAACCCGCACTCACTCGCGTCACACTCGGCAGTAGATTATACACAAGACATGTGCAGTTGTCTCCGAAGACGAGGTTGACCAGTCATCAAACAATTTCACTCATTCTTCGTGTTGAGAAGTGTGAAATGCCGTTTCACATGTCGCAAAATACAAAATAGTATTTCGCAACTGGGCTGAATACGATGTTCCATCTCCGAATGCATAACAAAATGTGGGGTATCCACGGTAAATGTGGGGGGAATTGGCCGTCCACCCGTCCGTCCACCTCAAACAATATCTGCAGGCAGTATGTCTACTACAATATGTACATCATTACTTTACTGTAATATTACAGTGCACGTACCTGAAACACAGGTAGTATGTACAACGTTGGTACCGGCTGCATCATAACGCTATTGTAATGATATTGCACCTGGCGCTACAGATCAACAACTTACCAGGCTGGTAGCCGGATCGATGAAAACGCCTAAGTGACAACCAGGTAGCTTGCATGTCGAGCCGCCAGCGTTGGTGTTCCCCGCGCTTGTAGAGCGGGTCCACTGACCGTCGGCGATGGCCTTGTCGGCGTGGCTCCTCGAGCAGAAGTCGTGCACGTGCTTCTTCGCCGAATCGAAGTAGACCGGGAGCGAGCATCCATCCAACTTGCACTCCTTGGTAACACGAAGAACGAACGGCATTGCGTTTGTATGGGGGGGGGCGTACATGCAACACACAAATCCATTGTGAGCGAGAGACCTCGGGGCCAACTTGTCGAGAAAACAATCCTGGTCCTCGCCCTACATTCTCACGGTCATGTGAATGCAGGTCAAATCTCTCTTCATAGGTACAGTAGGCACTATGCAACCCTCAACCTATGCATAGCTACGCGTTCCTCACATGGCAATTGCCATGAGGGCGGCGAAGACTCGGGCGTATTCCCCTCGATACCGCTTCTTCAGCATGAGTGCGTCCACAGAAGTCATGGACAACAGTGCCACCGTCATGGCACGGTCTGGTGCACTCTGGGATGCCGCATAACCTAGAAGGTGCCGCAGGTACCGCCATTGCAGCACTCTTCCTTTTTTTACGCTTTTTGGGCCTCTCTCGTGGGTCTGGCGCATGTGCGCAGCTTTGGCTCTGTTCGTCAAAGAGCCGGTTCGCCAAAGAGCCGGTTCGCCAAAGAGCCGGTTCGCCAAAGAGTCCAAAGAGGGCCGATTCGCCGATTCGCAAGAGCCGGTTTGCCAAAGCGACGAAAACCCCTGAGTGTCGATCAAGACATACAGCTCGGCTAGATCTGCGCAAAGACTAAGACTACACACGGAAGGCGAATGGTTAGGGTGGACCGAAAACTCGACCGAGTCCGGCGGCGGAGCGGGGCGTTGTAAAGATCTTCGTTGAGTTAGTTCCTGATGTTCGAGCAATGCCACAAGTTGAACGCGGGTAAATGATTCTACATGTAAATCACGAACAATTTCCAAAGGGGCAAAGAAAAAATATCGAATGAATCAAAGTAGGGTGCCGCAGTGCCGCAATAATAGTTGCCCGCACACATCACGCCCCGCCATGTTTCACAGCAGCCTGATCCTGCTCTGATCATGCTCTCTCGACGTCGAGGTGTGATACGCCGAACAGCGTACAGGTGCAACAAGGGCGCGTACCAGCGCACACGAACATTGATGAGAATTACCCCCCGCACAGGACATACGGTGCCGTTTATATATTGGAATTATTATCGTATGGTTTTAAATTGGGTTTAGTACATACATATGGCATTTGGGGGGGGGGGGGCGTGGTCACTTCGTACAGTACGCTCCCACCAAAACACAAATCCTTCTTAAAAAACAAGTGAGTACACTGTCCAATATTAGCCCACCGTCAATGAATGAAAGAGTTCAATTCGTGACGGCGGCGAGATTTGAACTGCTGTACATTAGTTTCTTGCGTATTCCTTCATCAGTCAGAAGTTTGCACGATGGAACGGAACAAATATGTGCGCGTAAAAGTGAGTCGATTTTCACTCTTTCGAAAGTATCTCGGAAGAAAATATTTAGGATGGAATATGCTGTAGTTGCATGAGCCTAGTATTCTTGCAACCAACAATGAGAGAAAGATTTCAGCTGACCCATGATGATGTGATATTCAAACTTCTTGCATGCGTGCAGTGCGAGACACACATACATCACGATCCTTCAGTGCTGCTGGAGATTATCCAGCCCGATATGAAACATCGTTGGGAATCGCTTCGGAGAACACGGTAGATTTTAAACCCCAGCCCGACGGCGTCCACCGCCGTGACACTGCCGTGGTAGCAGGAGGAATGTGTGTGTGCTGTCTCTTTGTCCACGCGCTCATCCGTCGACTACCAATTCCTACTCGGGAAGAGCGCCTCATTTCGCAGGGGTGGGGGGCTCTGTTCGCTTTACCGTCGTCAGTTTCAGAAGCATCGTCCGCCTGGGTGTCTTGAATGAATATGGAAGCGGGTTGGGTAGCAGTCTCTAAAACAAAGCAGCAAGGGAGGAGACCACGTCAACCGATGCCGTCCTGCCTCGGCACGAACGAGGCGTAGCTTCGTGGAGAATGGTGGTGAGGTTTAGGACTGGCTTGGTGTGATGGCCCGGTGGTGGTCACCACGAACAGGGAAGGTCGTCTGCGTGGCAAATTGGCATTCGATCCCCGGACGACAGGTTCCCGACACGTGCGAACGGGGAGGTGCGTGCCGACTTCTTCCTGGCGCAGGACCCCCCCCCGGCTGCGAGTGCCTTTGTCGCTCAGCTTAGGGATATATTTATGCGTACGTGTAGATTGATGTCACGAGGCACCTGTTCACTCTTCTCACAGACTAGTCGGAGCATCAACGAGATACATGTCTGTGTCTCCAGCACCCAAAACGTCATAAAACGGACTGGACTATTGACTGGCACGTTGTGCATAAATGCCATTGAAGCACGGTCGGATGCACAAGCATCCGTATCGTGCTTGACATTGGGGCGGGGGGGCTCAAGTCGCTTCGAGTTGCCGTAGATTGTGATAGGAAGCTATCACGTCAAGCCTCATGAAACTTCGAAACCGAAAGATCAGCCAACGCCCGCGGGGAGAAATCAACCTATGAGTCGTCGCGATGGCCACATTTTCGAATATATATTCGTAAAGGCTCCTGCCACAGCTGCGCGGGGGTGCTTTTGTTTCAGAATATTGTCCCCGTACAGGGTTAACGAACTGAGTAAACTTGGTTCTGAAAACAAACGTCTGAGATAATCCGCTCGTTCGATTGCCCTAGCACACATCGACACCTGTCCCTCTTGCAGAAATGTATCCACGTGGAAACGCCCTCATACATCCGTCAATACTCAGCATATCCGTCATAGACAAAACGCTACAACAGGCCGCACGCCAGGAAGAAACCTACTGTAGTGTTGACAGCACACGGTCGGATGCTGGGCTACCCCATGTAGTGAAACGTCTCAGAATGGGACAAGAACAACGCAAGGCAAGGGAACAGGATCAGATTGAACACGCACGAGTCCAAGTATGTGAAACAAACAACGGTTCCTTGGCCGCATGCGAGACGGCTCGAAAAAATTGCTCAGTGCAAAGCATACACGATAAGGTGCGTTGGCAGGGCAGCTTCCTCCTTGTACACTACGAGCTCGTCATAGTTCAGCCCTTGGCCTACCTGTCAGGGACAAGGATGAGAGAGGAGCGCGCAAAAACTGGTTTCACCTTACTGTAGCCTTATGCCCTTCGTTACAGCCGTTATCGGTGTCAATGGCCCGGTCCTCGGCGGTTCTTTTACCTTAGCGGACTCCACGCCAAAACGCTGTCGTTCGTGTGGAAGGTGGACGAAGTTACATAACTGCTAGAACATCAAACCCGATGGTCTCACTCGCGGTTTATCTCTATGCGTGCCCTCACCTCCCCGACGACGGATTCGTAGCCTGGAGGCGGGCATTTGCCGTCGTCCAGAGCTTTCTCCTTGGTGGAGTATGCCTTTCCCGCCGCGACGTTGGCGACGAACATGCACCTCAGCTTCGTGCCGTCCTTGGCCGTCTGTAGGCGGACCGTTCGTACATCGCCCGTGCGAGTGTACGCGGCAGCAACAAGTCAAGACCAGCACAATGTTGCTCCAGGCAGTTCGCGAGCATCAGGCCCAAAACGATAGTATCATTGGTGTATCCGGGCATCATGTACAGGGAGCTTCCAACTTCCGAGTGAAACGCCTGCGCGTCGGACGTGCGGAACGGCCGATGAGTCGGTCCTCAAACAGAAATCTACCTTTGCAGTGAGGTCGGCGTAGTCATTGGCCTTCCCGGACACGCTGCTGAAGTACACGCCCTTGCCATAGCGCAGATTGAAGTTACGCGCCAGCGCCGTGCGGCCGACGTTTTCGTCGAGCTTGAAGCCCCGCATGCTGATGTTGCACAAGCTGCAACTGCGCAGTCCGCAGGGGGATCTCTGCGCCACCGGAGTTGCGGCAAAACACAAGCGACCTCAGAAATGAAATCAACCGGCAGAGGGGACAATAAACCTAAGGCGCAAGAAAGACGGCAGAGGGCGGTCAAACCCACTCGGAAAGTCTACCAATGTAACGCAAGGAATCAGTGTATGGGCACCGTCAAACCTGCAAGGAAATTCGGTGATCGCGCGAAGGCGAGATTAGGCGACGACGATGAACGAAGCCCATGACGGGTACATGTAGCGCAGAGTCGGCAACATTGATGGCAGATTCGTTTCGAGCAAGGCAAAACGCATCGTGAGAGGGTGTGACCTGGACATACTAGCTGCATCGGTTGAGGTAGCACACGAAGTAGAGCGTGCCGCTCGAACTGCGTAAAGCACCAGTGGCGGGGGTACCGCCAAGAATAAAAATAGCACGCGGTGCACAACCAAAACCAATTCTCCGGTGGGAGCTGTTCTGAGGGAAAATATCAAAGCGGTATGGGACCAAGCGTGCCGAAAACACAGCCAATCCAAATACTGTACCTGCGGGTCGACGATGAAATTGCACCCATCACTACAGGAGGTGCCATGGAAACGCCGGCGGATGTTTCGCACCGTGCGCGCGTACTTGTCGTGCTTGTCGCGAACCTCCGCTGGCACCTTCCAGACGACGACGGAGTACGTAGGACGTAAATCCGCATCGGATGCAATGCGCCATGCATTTCGTGAAGAGGAGGGTGGCATGGATCACCTTGCACGCAGACACACCGCCAACTTCGTCCGCACCAAAAGCGCTTATTGATCACGCGCAAAACTGCCGGACTTTTTCGAACACCAGGAACTCGACTGTACGTCGCTCGTCCGCTGTGTATGCCAAAGGGGTGCGTCTTACCTCCACCCTGAAGATCCGCACGACCGAGATGCCCTCCGCTGGCTGTGGTTTGACCCACTTGGTGCTGAACTGGCTGCGTAACGACGGGCACTCGGGGTGGGCCTCATCCAGGGCGCACAAGTTGAACCTGGGGGTCCCCACGGAATACACGCCGTGTACGTACGGCTCTGAGCTCCGGAGCTGGCCCTGTGAAGTGGTGACACGTCGCCGACCATGCGGATCGTGTGGGAGGGTGAGGGCAATGAGACATGGTGGGAAACGTGGCAGAAAGCACTATTGGACAACGGCCAAGTGCCAGCAGTCTGCGTTCAACCGTCGACAATTTCGTGCGCATCATCGCATGGAAAATCGGGGGGAGCTAAGGTAGTGGGCTATCGACAAACCCAATCAACACCATGACCTCTGTTTGTCCTGATTGTTTCGAAACAACCGGTCGGGAGGCTTAGCGCACTCACTGTGGAATGCTCCTATTACAGTAGCCGCACTATGTGCACAAAACGCCCTTGCCTTCGAAGGTGGTTTTGAGAGGAGGCGGTGACCTTCTGAGCAATATCCCAGGTCCTCCCCAGTCTGCAGGTGGTGCAAGGTGCCCACAGAGCAGTAGCGGAGCTTGCAAACCGAGCCAGCATGCTTGTTGAGCACTAGACGTTCCTTGGAGAAGCAGTAGGCGCTGCAGTACTGTCTGGAGTCCGTGTTCGCCAACCAGGCGGTGCTATCGAGTAATGATGGACGATTTTGCAGGCAGATGCCGGCGAGCCGAGAGGGGAGTATGTGAGAGATTGACAAGCACCTTCCATCAAGATTTCCTCTCATCGTGCAAGCAACCTTCCACATTCTTGAGCAGCAAGATATTTAGGGCAATCCTGCAGTGCAATTTGTTTATGACTCAAAGTACTGATGAGACCAGATTCTGGTTAGTATCTCGGGACTCTCTTCCTCACGTTTCCCTGCCCTTTTGTGGCTTCGGGAACTTGGTATTCTAAAGACTTGTCTTGGTATGCGACATGCGAGACGCTCGCTGAGTCTTTGAAACTGCTTTGGGTTAGCCTTTGCGCCGAAGTTACATATTACAACACGACAACTGTAGTAGCAGGAAAAGAAATCAAGAATATTCGACTCGAGCATAGGCAATGGAATGAAGCGCAACGATCCACGGATCTGAAAACGACACCTCGATGGGACGCCAAGTTGACCAACGTGGCCACCAATTAGCGAAGCGTCAAAGCATGCAATGATGCGCAAGGCACATATGGTGTGGTACGCTTGCCGTACTAGGGTGTCTTCAGGTACTGGTCGGTACAGCGGGGCAGATAGTCAGACCATCGTAAATAAATTTTCCCAGTACCTGCCGTTTACCCTTTGCCCAAAACCCGTGGTTTACCTTCGAGCAGGAGGGACACATGTAACAGAGCTACAAATCGAACTATTCGAAGGACGAGTTAGCCATCCTTACCTCGTACATCCACGGCGCGCACACAGTCGCGCTTGACCCGTCAAGTAGTGGGACTTGCCGCAGTACTCGGAGTCCTGAAGAGCATCATGAGTAGGGTTTGATTAGACTGTGGTCATCTTCGTTCCTGCCTTTCCTAATAAACGGAGGCTTCCGCGTTTCAACAGCACGAGGATTTCAGTTCCGCCAAGTGAAGATCAAGTATTCAACGTGTCGACATCACACGGGGGGGCATAAATCTTGGCTGAAATGTCGTGGCCTGACGAGAACGTTCACGGAAACGTACCAGCGACAAACGTGCGCGGAATTCCATGGAAGAAAACGACCCTTCAAGGAGAACAATCTAGAAGTATTTCCCCCACAAACGCTTGTCTCGCTCTGGACGTTTATTGGTGGGGAATGCACGGTACAAAGTGTCTCGCGAGAGAGTAAAGGGATACATGAAATTACGCAGGCGGCAACGCAAAGCCTGCTTTGTGGAGGCACGGGCATCCTATATTGACAGGAGAGTCTTCGAGACTCCAAAATTGTCCACGCGCTTGCCAAACGAGCGGTGGGGTTGGCCATCGTGTTCGTCCCGGACAACGCCACCGCCACAAAACCATAACCAAAACAACAGCAAGTTCGTGAGGGGAGTTTGGGCGGAACACATATATGTCTTGCATGACACTCGAAAGTGCCATCTTCGAATCGCGTCCCTCGGCGTTGATATGTACAAGAGAGTATGGGTGAGGTTCTGTACCGTCTTGGTGGTACTGTCTCGGTAGACCAGCTCCTTGCAGCCAGGTAGCTTGCACACGGACGTCCCTTTGTGAGGGGAGGGGATCCAGTCTCCCCTGTCCATCGCCTTGTTTGCATGGCGTCTGCAGCAGAAGTCGTACACCCGTCCGGTATCAGAATCGAAATAGACGGGCTTCGAGCAGCCCCGCAGCTGGCAGACCTGCTCATCGCACAGGTACGGGAGAGAGTATGGCCGGAATGTTCATGAGTGCTGTAAACCTATGTAGTAGTTTGGCAATGCGCCCGATCATTACAACACTAGTGTATTTACAGCAGTGGCCTCGATATTTGTTGTGCGCCCCCACAAACATCGGTATCGGTTTGTAGGCCTTCGGACCCATTTCTAGCTGTGGTTAACCGCGTATGGTTTCCCTCGTAAACCTACTTTTGCGTAGCAGGTTCGGATTCGATGCTCTCTCTGGAGCTTCGTGGAGAAAACTTGCAACTCGCGGTGGAAAAAACAATTGTAAAAACGATTATTATGAGACACACTAGTCAAAGAGTCGAGTCTAGCATAGACAATGCGTGGCGTGGTGTTTTTTTTTGTGTTGGGGGGAGGGGGGTTGGAAAGACAACGCACACGTCGACTTCACGGTCGATGAGGGAAAAGGACGGCTACTGCTTGTGTGCATACACCCCTTCTTCTCGCAAGAAACACTACTGTAAGGCACGCACTGCAGGAGGAAACGCATGCCGAGAAAAGAAAAGAAAACTCTGTCGAAAAAAAATGTACGCATGCCAGGATGGATGCATAGTCTTTGCTTTCATCAAAATTGAATGGATGCCAACAAAAAAGTGTGAAGTTGTTGCTTCGAAGAAAAAAAAAAACTCTCGCACGACGCGGCTGATGTGTTTAAATGCATACCAGACCGAAAGCGTACTGGCACCAGAATGGATGGGACGCGGGCAGACGCACGCACGCTTACCACGGCGCTTGGTGTTTCACAGCATTCATGCGTATTAGGTATGCATAGTCTACATGGACCGCTGCCCACAGCAGACATACAGACAATAAACATGAACACAACGCGTCCGCCGAGACGACTACAGCAACTAACTGTAAGTGTTCGGACTTCAGCAAACTGCCTGCCTGCTGTTCGAGACGCAAGTGTCATGTTGAAAGTGGAGTGGGACCTGCTATGCATGGGACTCTAGGGTAAGTGGTTCATGTAAAATGTGTGCTTCAGCATGAGAGGAGGGACCCAACAAGCGTCTCACGTGGCACCGGCCGTGGGGGCGGTCAAGTTTCGCTGCTAGCCCCCTTGAGACAGCCTCCATGGCGTGGGTCCGCCCGCAGAAGTTGTGGACTATACCCGCCCTTTGGTGCCGTGGCCTCGTGCATTCAGGGATGTCGCACGACCCGGGTGCCGTTCGCGCCGCCATGGCTGCCTACAGTCTAGTCTTGCTTGCTTATCTCCCACTCTCGGCTGTCGGTGCTTATCGCGCGGGCCGTGAAGCCAGTGCAACAGTGCAATGTGGGGGGCACGCCGAAGGCAACCACACCTACAGTACGTACTGTATGCCTTGCGGTGTCTGGTTCTTCTTTATGTTACGAACAACCGGGCGGCTCTGCAACGCTGTAAGTGTGTATGCATACTTCCACACGCCTCGCACATCCGCATCTACTAACTTCATGTCTAGGTAGGGAGGAAATAGACGAACACCTACGATTGATTCTGAATTGCAGCTTGAACAAGCTGCTCACATAGACACTGGCTCTATTCGTCAAAGATCCCAAAATCCACGAAGAATTGGGTGTCTATTCATGCATGCCCCACCAAAAACATTTGCAAAAGTAAAACACACACAGAAAGACTACCCAACCCGTTCGAGATATACCCACCGTCGAACGAAGTGGTGTATACCCTCCGCTGAAAAGCTACCGAACGCATGCTAACGCTGCCAGTTTCCAACGGTGATAGATTCCCGAACCCGAAACTCGATGAAGCGCAACGGAGCGGGGCGGCGCGGTCGTCGTTAGTGCAGGTGTGCGCTATTTCGCAACGAACTGCCGTCCGAAACAGGTCGTGACCTCTTTCACCAACCTTTCAGCCTGATACTGGTGTAGTTACCGGGGCCGGTTTCGTGTGACTGCGATGACATTCGAACTTGGGATTCAAGAATTTGGGCCCAACAAAAGGAAAAATCTCGAAAAAACAACTGGCAGGTGCTCTGAGTATCCGATAACCAACCTGTGCTACATGCTGTCGGGTTTCCCCACAGAGAAAAACACGAGATGCTTCGTGCGAACCAAGGGGTTGCTGTTGATCCCAGAATTCGGAGAGTTGCTTGACTATGTGGAACTCACCGGACATGTGAACAGTGAAAGATATTATCACTCAGAAGTGAAGATGATTAAGGTACAATATTTATATGCATATTATAGCCGTTCGGCATGATTTCCACGCCCCCCCGCAGAGATTTATTTTTGATTATCTGTGGGCCACAGGCGCGAGATACTGGATGATGAAATGAAGCATCCAGTCCTTGGATAAATCGCACTTCTTGTTTACACTTACGCCCCCAAACGGGCCAGCTGCTGCCGATGCGGCTAAAAAAGACGCACAGATGGTCTGGAAGGCGTGCCTGCTGTGCGAAGCAGTTTGAACAAAAATGACAAGTGCTTTCTACGAATGAGTTTGTGCACTGCCCTGCTGTACGCCACAAAGCTCACAAGTTCAGAGCGAGGGGCTTGGGCATCCCCGTTGGTCCATCTTCCTTGCAACTGCGTACGTCATTCCTGAGCGGTCTTGAAGGTTGGCGTCCTCGCTCCTTGACTGCGCTCGTTCCCCTAAAAAATATCTGTGCATCAAAATCAGTCATCCTGTATCAAACCTCCCTTCCACATCCGCCCGCATGCCAAGAACACGGCGTCTCCTACATAGCCATTAAGTGCCATTTCCTGCAATCACCACGCGCATATTTCACTGTCGGCGGATACGCTCATTTTCCATTCGTTGGCATAAGCGAGTCCATATCATGGATCATATTCTGCTTGCAGCCAATAATTTGACCTCAATTTCGTGCTTTATAATCTAGTCCTCCTCTTGTATTCGCTCCTGTTCCCTGTTAAAGTCAGCACTCTGTCCCATGCCAACATTCTCCCGCGTCATTTCTTACCCAGTTTCCGGTCCATCTACGCCCCGGTCATCTGTTGAACGTTACCGTACCTGAAACCACATCCACGCAAACAGCAAAACCCCCTTGCTTTCCAGAGCAAAGACCTATCCTTCACGCTTGAACCGTGAAGCACTCGATACATGGCACTCAGCCCGACACCCTTCGCGTCAACTCGATGGTCTGAGGCTATGGCTCACGCCTCTTCGCCGTAAGGGTCGTCGTCATCATCCACGTCCCCGTACATCGCATCGTCATCCTCATCGTCATCCTCCTCTTCCTCCTCTTCCTCCTCCTCTTCAGCAGCTACCACGCCAGAGGGCTCATCGTCGTCCTCTTCGCCCTCGACCTCCTCGACTGTTTCCGTTGCCACCGGGGAGGCGGCAGCCGCAGGTCCGCTTGCCGCCGTCGCCGCTGGGGTCACCGCTGCCTTGGTCCCTCGAGCAGCTTCCGCAGCCGAAGAAGCACTGGCGCCACTGCCGGCGGCAGCAGCAGGCGGAGACTTGCCCGAGACGCTGGGGAGAGCGGACAACCCACCCGATGTAAGCAAGGCAAGCGCGTCCTTGATCGCTTTCTCTCCGCCGTCATTCGGCCCGGCCCTGGCCCACGGCGCCTTGACGACCGCCGCCGGATGGGCGACCGGGGCGACTCCCTTGCCACCGCCCCTGCCCGCGGCGCCACCAGCGGCGGCCTTCGGCCCAACATCGCTTGAGGCGGCAGTGGCGGTGGTAGTTCCGCGCCGCGCGGGCGGCAGCACGGCACCCCCGGTGAACGGCTTGAGCATTGCCGGGGTGGAGGAGGAAGACAGGTTTGCGGTGAGCGGCGATTTGCCCCTGCTGCGGATTCCCTTGCTGTTCTTCGATGGCACAGGAGGTGCCAGATTGTCCTCGAAGACTTCTTCCATGACGTCATCACCCTCTGCCCGCACGTGCGAAGAAAACGAATTAGACACACATAGTCAGCTGGTTGGCCTGACAACCAGCATCACCCATATATGCGGGGCGGACAGCGGGAGCCGGAGCAACCGAAGATGAGTGGGATGGTGTCGAATTGAACCGAAGGTTGCGGTGAAGGCCAACGATGCAAACGACTCAGCCAGCGGGCGCGCCCATCACATCATTTCATGTACCATGTTGCAGCAATTCACCCATCCAGCCGGCCGTCTCTTGAGCATCACGCCACAATCTCAAGCAAGAATTGAAACATGAAGAATTTCGTCCCTGCACGACCGCGATGTGATCCAATGGATACGCGCCATTGCCAAACAACAGGACCGCACGCGGCGGTGCCATGAACCTCTTGAAGATAAACACACCGTACGCTAGAGTCCACCCCTGCTGCACACCCGAGTAGGGAGTCCTGCCCGCTCGTGTGTTCCATAAGCCAAATTGAGAACAGCCTAGGACAGCCGTACTCACACATGGTCTGAAACAACGTCACACAAGCACATCTGCTAAAGGCCAACCGACCCCACTACATTGCAGTCTGTCTACCCGATGTTCGGTCGTGCTTCCTGTCTTCCCTCTCCCGGTCGCACTTACCGTTAACCTGCTTGAGGCTGCCGTCGAGATTCATGACCCGCTGGAGAGCAGCGTGGTCGATCTTGAGCGACTTACTCTTGGCGGCCTCCAACGAGATGGCTTCGCCGAAATTCTTGCCGACGGCATGGGACCCGCTGCAGTTCCAATGAAGCGCCAAAAGAACCGGGGTGAGAGTGCGACGTGGATACCGACGCGATGCAGTTGCCAACGCGATGAAGACCGTCAGCTATGCGAAGATGGTTGCGCAAGACTGGAAGCCAAAAGGTTATGGAATGTGGTCTGTCAATAAATGATAAAGCTGTGTACTCTATCAGGGCCCATCAGGTGTGGAACTCAGAAAAACAGGCGTGCATCCATCATTCCAGGAGAATGAGCCATTGCAGAAGAATAAGGCCACGGCGCGGACTGCCTAAAACCCGATGGAGAAAACAGAAGTCAAGAGTGAAATCACTGCGGAACATCTCGTTGAGACAATCCCCCTCGTGCCATTTGCAGACCGTCGGAGACACTTGTCACCGGTCAGAGTAAAGACATATTCGTGGACGACGAGATGGCATGGGATTGGTGTCAATCAGCCTCGCGTTCACGTACTGTACGTGGTTTGAAAGAGAAAACAGCGTGAAACCAGACACCTGTGAAACCCTTCGCAAATCAAACTCCGGGAAGAGAGTTCAGCCTTGCCAAGGCAAACTCGTTGCCCCAAAAGCCATGCGAGGGCGTCCGATGTATGGTACCGATCCGTAGGCCGGCACGGCCTGCAGCTTAAACGAATGAAGTCAGGCTCCAGAACGCGGCACAAAATGAAAAAAACATACCACAATACCTAGTACAGAGAGAGAGTGAAACCTGCAGTGAATCTTGACACAGAACGGCGGTGGCCGCCAATTTCGTGTAGACATGCACGACGCCGAACGCCAAAGGGTAGCGAAATTTATTAATAGTATTTTCAGCGGTAAAATATGATCCTTCAGCAAATAATTGAGCTCTGTACGCTGTCGAAGCCCGCCAGGTGAAACCACGAAAAACAGGGCTAGAACCCAGGGAAAACTGAACAATTTATAAGCTACTGAACCGGCCAGAACCCACTCCAACAGTGCTTGCGGAACAGAGAAAAGCAAGAGAATCAGAAAGAACCAAGGGAGAACAGGACCATTTCTAAGCCTACTGAACCGGCCAGAACATACTAAAACTGTGCTCGCGGAACAAAGGAAAGCAAGAGAATCGCAGAGGAACAAGTGGTTGAGCTACCCATCCTGGCGTACACATGGCCATCACATGCAGACGTTTGAAGGAGGGAATATCTCACCCTTCAGAGTGAAGATATGCTTAAGAATGTGGTGCGTGGGAGTAGTAATTTTTGTTGACGCGCTAGGTGCTCCAACGAAACCAGAGTAAATATTTTCATAATATTGCAAATGTGCGTTGCGGAAGTGAAATCAAACGCCAGGAAAAAAAATGGAGCGGCGACGCATGTGCCGGCACCGCCAGTGTTGCCAGGCCGCCAATTATGTCACGAATGGGGGAATACAACATGATACAATTGAAAATGCGAGTGGAGCCCACAGCGGGGAATGAGGAGTAATGAAAAAGTGGGGACGGAAGTGAAAACAAGAACTTCGCGGCCCACGTCCACCCGGCCCGAGGAAAACCTGATGAGGCCGTCACATTTGATGAGCGATACATACAGTATATTGGCATAAAAAAAGAAGGACGGCCTAAAATAAGAAGGAAAGCAAGTCGTGGGTGCGAATGGAGAGGGAGTGAATGACATACCGTTGGCCGACAGCGGTCCACACATAACACATCAAGAGAATGAATTCATTCAGCATCGACCACAACGAAGATCTATCATGTATTGGAATATCATTCCCACACACTTGCGCGCAACGTGAGGTTGAAATTGCTCGCGTATGTAACGAAGCACACCTCCGTGAACATTGGGCGCTCGGACGGAAACGCGCCGACAGAATAAAAGAAAATAGACTCGCCATCGGAAAACTCTAATCTGTTAAGTAAGAGTTAAAAGTGAATATCGTGTGAAATACAGCGTCCATCTGAATAGTAAGCGCTGAGCCTGAATCGGAACGTGACTGAAGCGCGAGAATGAAATCAACCGCGTGTGAAATGAACCGTTACCAATAGGCGCTCGGACTGCAACCCAAAGTGCGAGTGAAACACATATGAATTGAGAAATACTTCGAATATCTGGGGGTAAGGGTGAAACCGCTCTCACAGGACCCATGACCAAGGTCTCAGATGCGAACGTCGCGCGTCACTGACGGATGAATGCACCTCGGACCATAAGTGAGTCGAATCACTCGGGGCACAGCCACCAGCACACATAAACCATTTCAAGCGCCGCGTGTGGAAGAACGAGTGAGCGATTCATTTTTCATGTGTTGAAGGGCACTAGGATGAAGGGGGAATGAATGAAAGGAGAATGAATGGGCCACGTACGACCTCGTCACACGGTTTGCTGCTCTCCCAATCTGACCCCCGACTCTGTCGAATGAATTACAGGACCACTTATGCTCCTGTGAGAAGCTCAAAAAGAAAATTCTCCTGGTGATATAAATTGATTTGAGGCGGTACTGCACACTCATATGAATAGGGAAGGCAAACACGTCATGCTTGCGCCGGACAGAACAATATTCCAGGAACGTAACAGAGAACACACAACAGGGGTGACCCTAACAAGACCACTTATTGGGCAACTGACATACCGGCGATACGTGCGTGTGAATATGCATACGCACAAGTAGAGACGGATAGACCTCACGAACGCGGTGCTGCAAATAAACGTGACGACATCAAAGCTGTCAGGAAACGAGGGTTGCGCACCAATGGACGGCGGTCTATCTCTCTTTGATCGGGCAAGGCCAGGGCACCAACCGAAAAAAAGACTCGCTGAGGGCACACGGTGTGCGCAAATGGTATGACACTATTAGTGTTGACAACAGTGGAGAAACAAGGGGGTGGGGGCGAGGGGCACGGACTCCGTCTCTCCTCGCACTTACCTAAGGGTGTACTTGCGCTTCTTTTTCGGAACCCCACCGGGCGGGTTTAGACCGGTCCCGTCGGAGAGAATTCTTGATTTTTCGGTCTACCGCAGGAGAGCGTCCGTTGGGGTGAGGCAACAAACGAAAACAGCGCCGTCGTATGAAGCGAGGCGTATCCATAGCACAATACCGGAACGATACCACAAATAACAACCAGCTGCCACACACTCACTTTGGGCGTTGGGCAATAACAGATTATCACGTTCGTATGTATGGAACAACCAACACCTCGGTGACGAGTTGTTCACTTGAAGTACAGCAGGATCAGGTACCAGGGTCAACACGAGGTAATGCCACATGCCGACTAGCATTGCCCGACAGTTCACTGGGCTCCAAGGAGGCCGAGGAGAGAAGGAAATTACGCGCAGAAAAACCTCAACCGTCACAGTGAAAGGGGCGACGGAATGAGCCGGAGGCCAACCAACATAACCGCAACCTGAGCCCGGGCGAAAGGTCAAATGGAAGCGAAAGAAGCTCACACCCGGCAACAACGGTGGCTTGAGGCCCTTCGGAAGTCAAACCTCAAGAGCAGCACCTGTTCAACCTTCACCTGGTCTTCCACCCAGGCTTTGTGCTCCTTCTCCCACTCCTTCTTGGTCCTGTCGCTGTCCTCCTCTGTCCTCAAGTATACCCCCCACTCTAGACCGTCTTCCTCGTCGTCCTGCTCCTTGTCATCGCCCTTCTTGTTGCCGTTGTCATCCTTCTTGTTCTGGGTCTTGTTCCCGCTGTCCTCGCCGGCCGCACCCTCGTCTGTGCTCATGAGGGTTTCGTCGGAAGCCGGCGATGCCGGAGACTTCGCCTGCTGCATGCATGAGGGAGGCGTTGAGAAGGCCGGCGTGTTGTCGTCTTGTTTTGGTGGCTGTCGCTGTTGCTGTTACCGGGGGGTGTTCGCTGCCAAACGCGAGAACTGTTCTTAGTCAAGCGCACTTACCAGAATACCGTTTCGACAGACGAGTGGAAGATGATGTGTACTACCAGGTTCACTCCAGGTAAAGACGAGCAGACCTATGGGCCCAGGTGCAACCAGATCAAGACTCGTGTGAGAAGATGATGACCCACACCCAGGCGTCAGTGGTACTCTCGCTAGTAGCTTGTGGGGTAAGCAGTTAGCGCACGAACCAAAGTACTAAACTCATCCAAACTAAAAGGCCCTATTTTCTCGAAGACCATGCGAGGATGCCGTGCAACAACATACATTCCCAGCGCTTGAATCGGCGGTACCGCCGCCACCATCGATATCGTTATCGTTGTCTCCTGTAGCCTCGTTGGCCTTGGCTGCCACGTCTGCGCTCCTAACGCCACCGCTGCCGCCGCTACCGCTGCCGCCTCCGCCTCGATCAACGCCCAGGCCCCGCTCTTCGTCCTCGTCGAACATGTTCTCCAGGCAGGAGTATACCTCACTCTCCACCTGCTCAAAATCAACAGGCAACAAACGACGCTTGGTTGCTAGGTACGTGCCAACGACGGACTACAGCAGTGGCGTTGTCGGTAGCGTTATGTGCGCGACGGCGGTAAATCACCCGAACAGGCACAAGCGCCGATTCCATACTGCAGTGTCAAAGAATCACGTCGTGCGTTGCTTGATGATCACGTGTTCGTCCGTCTCGACCGTGCGCTGCTGTCGTTGTGGATACCCAGAAGAGACAAACGAACCGACAAAACTGGCACCAGATCGAGGTTAAAGCTTCCCCGCCATCGTTCTTCGTGACGACTCAGTCAAATGCAGCAGTGCCATCGAACACAGCGCCCGAGCTTTGGTTGTAGAGTTGATGAATTGATATACCAAAACAAGCAGGTGGCAGACGCGGCAAAACATTTCAAAAAACAATACTTCACGAGTCACGCGGAGCCCTGCACAAAACATCTCCCATGCATCGAACGCGTCGTCCTCGTCACCGTAACCGATAGCGTTGGGTTGGGTCTGTTGCCCGCAATCGTCCGCGCTGCGGTTCCCCAACCCCGTGTACCTTGCTGCGCTTCGCTCTCGACTTGGCCTTGCTGGCACCCCTCTTGGTGGCCCTTATGTGCAACACGTGCCGCGTCTGCGACACCCGAAAAACACGTCAACAACGAGAACATGTCGTCATGTAAGCATCGTCCACAAGTAGGGGAGGGGGGTGCGGGCTGCGGATTCGTGGGCAATATTCTGAGATGGACGTTGAATCACATGTGGAGGAGTGACGGCCGCAAGCTACAAGAAATCTTTCTCCCAACGAAAAAAATCAAGGGGGACATGTTTACGTTGTCAATTTCTCAACTGCTCCCTATTGCAACAACATGAACCAAACGACACGAACGCGCACGATAGCAACAGGCCAAACCACGCCGGGAAGCACACGGCTAAAACACAACAGTCCAAGCCATGAAACAGACGCTCTTCCCTCTCCCTTCAAGAGGGTGCTCACCAGCGCCTCCCGCCCCTCTTCCGTGTTCGCATCGACCTTCATCTTGGAAGATAGTCGCGCGCTCTCCTCCTCTGTCTCCTCTCCCTCTTCCTCATCCTCATCATCATCATCATCATCATCATCCTCCTCCTCCTCCTCCTCCTCCTCCTCCTCCTCCTCCTCTTCGTCCTCCTCCTCTTCCTCTTCCTCCTCCTCGTCCTCCTTATCCTCATCTTCTTTGCCAGATGAGTACTCGGGGTCGTCGTCGTCATCGCCGCCGCCGCCGTCGGCCCCACTCCCGTCGTCACCGTCGCCCTCCTCGTCATTCTCTACCCACACCTTGTTCGCAGCAGCATTGGCCGCCGCCTTTCTCCTGGGCAGCGTCCTCCTCCTCCCGACCACTCCGACCTCCTCCTCCCCGCTCCCTTCATCGCTCGAAGCGTCCCCTCCTTCGGCGGCAGCACGCCTCCGCTTCGGAGGCGACTTCTTCTTGGAGCGGGGAGCCTTGTCCTTCGGGCTCCGCTTCCTCTTGACCCCTGGGCGTACGCCCCGAGCACCCGCGCTGGCGCCGGCGGCAGCGGTCGCTCTACCGGTCTTCTTTCCGGTGCCGCCGCTTGCGCCTTTTCCCGCTCCTGCCTTAGCCCCCGCAGTCTCTGTTACCGTCTGCTCCGTCCACGGCATCTTCAGGGCACCGTCCCGGATGCTGATCAAACATCAAACAGGGGTGCAACGTTTCAGAGGGTGGGGGGGGGGTGGAGGGGGTCGCCAGACGTGTATTTTCAGAAACATGTTGATGGAGAAAGATGCAGTCACAACAACGAGAGAGAGGATGGGACGGTGTGCACGCCAAGCGGAGTTGCCCTGGTTTTTCGACGGTAGACATGCTGCTCGGGGCGTGCATACCGTAGTCCGGTTCGTAACCACAAACGTGAATACCACGTACGAAGTAATTCGTTGTCCGTTTAATGACTGGTGTTCCTGCCACCTTCGTCACTATATCTCGCTACACGTTCTGCCATCTCTGTCTCGCTTTCCTCAGCCGAAGTCGTGTTCTCAAATTGGATCCATCTACGCGCATTCCCCTTGTGCCTCCCCCACTCTCCCGCTCGGTTGTAGTTTCGGCCTTTGTGGTTCGTTTGCTGTCCTGTGTTAGCCGCACTTAGTCCACTGCTTCTCCTGCTCCTTGTGTTAGGCGACCATGAACCTGTCTGCCCCCCGTAGCACCCCCGCGTACTCCGCTCCACCTTCGCCGCGAAGGTCCAGGTGGCGTAAGAAACTCCGAATGGGTCTACTGTCGCCCTCCGTGGATTCGTCTGTGGCGCGGAACGCTTGCAAGTCTTCTTCAGGCAGGCACCTCAGCCAATTTTGCTCCGGGCACCGCTTGCCTGGGTCCTCCCCCCCCCACGATATTCCCACACATCACTCGCTTCGGGATTCGCCGGTCCGGTCGTGTAGTCACGTCTCCCGCGAACAGCAGTTGCCGTAGCTGGGAGTAGCTTCCAAGCTTTGGAATTCGACCTTTGAAGGGTCCGGACGTTAAGGATAGCTGTCCATAGTTGCCGCGCGTGCGGCGGTACTCGATAATTCATACCAGGAGCCGGTCGCTTATCCTCCTTCTCAGCACATGGCAGCGGTCGAAGCGCGGGGCTCACGTCATGCATTCGTACAGTAGAGCCACCACCTCCTCCTCCGTTTTGGGCAGTCGGACTCTGGTCTCCACGGTGCTGTCTGTCTGTCTATCGAAGAGTTCCGGGGAGTAGTTCCACATACAGGTCCACGCGGCTCTGTTCCGGCGGTTCATCTCTTGCGTGAGCTCGCCATCTTCTCTCATCACACGTATCGGAACCCGGTGGTCTGGGCTTTTGCTTCTATCCCGAACTTAGATCACCAGTGGTGCCTGGGGTGGTGGGGGTGGCGCTCTCTTCGGCTGCTTCCCCGGCATCCGCATCTCAAGAGTCCCTGATCTTCTTCTCCGGGACCAAAGGCTCCAACCACTCAGCCAGCCCTTCGGGCGATCTCGACAAAAACCCAGCATCGTCGGAATACAGCGTTGCCGTAACGCCCTCCGCGCTTGTTCCCGGCGTGTTGCTGGCAACAACCCCGATTAGGGAATCCTAGTTACCATGAACGACGAACGCGCACTCCACTCTACAACATAGCTCCCCAAACTTTTGGCACAGAAAAGCTCATAGCAGTGGAGCACAAAGCCTCGAAGGGTCGATTCGAAACGGGTCAACTGCTGCAAGGCCACCACTGAGTACCCGACGTAGCTGGTGTGTTTTTCGCGCCACGTTTCGCAAAACTTTCTCACTCTCTGGGGAATACAACCATCCCAAGGCACCCCATGATTCCAATTCTACAGATAGTTCACTGTGTGCGTGCGTGTACCATGTTAATGTCGCCCCCCCCCCCCCCCCCCCCCATTTCGGGATAATCATTTTAAAATCACGAATGGAAGTAAAAAAAAAAAAACTAATTTTATGCGACTCTTGGCCATGGGGCGGGGGTCAGGGGCTTCTGGATCTAGGGGTCACGCCCTGGAAAAAAGTGGGGAAAAATTCCCCCAAAACGAAAGAGTCCCGACCGGAACCCCCGGGGGAAAA